CACACACACACACACACACACACACTGACCTTAATGTATATAAGTTAATCTGCTTTTGCCTAGTAAATACTGTTAGATAAACTGCTTAAAAGTAGAAACCAATAGTGTTGTAGTGAGAGCCCATTTATTGTTTGATTGTTGTAACCACATATTAATCACCCAATATTACTCTCTTTAAAAAAAAGTCAGTTAATTTTAACTGACCAAAATAAACTGAATGACTTTGTGTGTTTTCTGTGTATATGGTAGTTGAATTGTTCTTGTTTAACAGATACCATCTTGAACTGGGGAGGGATACTCTTAATTGAAATCATATTCATGATTTTAACAGGGGTTATCTCTACATTCATTTCTTTTTTACTTTTAGGTAATTAATGCGGAGGAACAGGAACAAAAAAACAGCTCWAAGATAGAGGTGGTCTCAGTGACAGAGGAAGACCTGCCCACCGTTGAAACCCCCGACACTCTGGTTGTCAGTCCTCTTGGCAGCTTTACTACAGAGAAAGATTCACCCATTCCTTATGAGCCTCCAGTTGCAGCCAGCCCAACTATGCCAATAACCAAGGTGCAACCATTTATTCATGGTGAGACTCAGATATGTTGAAACTGTGCATTTATTTTAACAGCATTTACAGACTAACAGACAACAATTTTATCCCATATGTCTCTCCCATGATGTTATTCCTCTCACCTATAGAGCAGTTTCTATTACAAGTGCATGAAAAGTTATGCAAATTAGGTGATGATGCCATATTGCAATTTTGTTTACTTTCATAGGACTACCAAAAATGGTGTTGATTGTAATTCTAACAAGACATTTAGATATCTGCACAAACATTAGTAAAAACAATGGTTTCAGAATAAATCACAACGCTGCCATTGATGCTACAAGTTAAATTATTTTGTTTTGAATATTGAAAACAGACTGGTGGTGTAGTAGGCCACATCTTTACATAACATTTAGTAAAAACAGTTGTAAAAATAAAGTATTTCAGTCCTGATAAAGGAACAATRTCTGTATTTATGTGTTGGTAATATTCCAGTTGTTTTCCCAACAGAGGATGACTTGGACAAGAATTGGAAGAGCAGAGTACTAGCTCATCGATTGGAGTCGCTAATTGCATTTTGTTTCATCTTAATGGTGATTCTTGCTCTCTGCATTGGCCTTGGAGGTAAAATATGTTTTTGTTACTCACTTAATCTCATTAAGTTACCAAAAGACTATCTAAAATGCAAAAGTGTGGGTAAAGACGAATACAAAAATCACTTGTTTTGTACAATATTAGATAGGAAAATGTGTATATTGACCATTGACCCTGTCCTTACAGTAATAAAACATCAGTTGAACGTTATCGTCAGTGTGACCACCTTTTATAAAAAAAAGGACTATTAACGTGCTGCTCTGGAGCACAAGTGTGGGTTAACACAATGCCAAAACATCAGTACCAAAGCATCAGCAGTTAGTGGGAAATACTGCAAGATGGAACGGGGAAACTGAAATACAACATACAAGAAGAACAGAAAAATAAAACAAGGTACCTGAAAAACCTGATCTAAACACGAAGTTTCAAATTTTTTTTTCTATTCAGGGTGGGGTACACCCTGGACAGGTCGCAAGTCCATCACAGGGCCACACATAGAGACAAACATTCACTCTGTCAC